GGGGGGCTTCCCTCACCGTGTCCCTGGCTCTTCGTGCCCACCCCCAAGGTGTCTGTGTAGCCGGGTATGGGCAGTCTGGTGGGAACGAGATTCTGCAGCTGCTCCCGCCACCAACGCTGCAGGCGAAGGAGACCCAGGTGGGTGTTGCAGCCAGGGTGCCACCAGACCTCTCTGGCCTCTTTTGCCTGGTGTCTTCAGAGACCAGGCTGTGCTGGGCTGGGCTTCACAAGCTGTTACCTGGTCTCTGATGCTCTGACAAGGGCTTGGCCAGGTTTTGAGCAGCTTTGGTTGAAAGGTAAAGCACGTAAGCCACCCGGCTGCTGTCCAGTTGAGGTAGCGCGGGTTGGCAGTCCAGTCGTGTAATCAGAATCACAGAATCATTAAGGTTGGAAAGGACCTCTAAGGTCCTCAAGTCCAACCGTCAACCCACCACCACCACACTAAACCATGTCCCAAAGTGCCACATCTACATGTTTTTTGAACACCTCCAGTGATGGTGACTCCACCGCTTCCTTGGGCAGCCTGTTCCAATGCCTGACCAATAGAATCATTAAGGTATCCTGCTGCTCTTCAGGCAGCTTGTGCCATGAAAACTTAATCTCCAGATGTGTGAATGAAAGCATTGGATGGGGAAATAGAACAGATGAGGACACCAAGGTGAATGAAGAAGGGACTTGCTGAGATGCCTGAGCCTGGGGGACCACACTGATGAACAGTGAGGCTGGCCCTTGGGTGGATGACCTCCACACTAAAGTAGAAGGTGGTGTTTGGTCACTGAGTAAGCAGAAAGCTCCTGAGCCAGACTTGCACGGATAGCAGTGAACCCAGGCAGAGTTCTAGGCAGGAGCTTTCTCCAGACTTTTTTTCCTCTAACTATTTTGGGATCCTTCAATCCTATAGCTCCTGTTGAAACAGGCATTACTGGATGGGCAAGAGCTTTACCGAGTGAGAGTGTGTCTTGTGGCTCTGTTTGTTTTTTCGTGGTAACTGACCACACCGAGTTCTGCACCCTTAAGTGTGAAGAAATTACTTTGTCTCTGATTTCTAGGGCCTATGTCCAGAGAGAGATTTCAAGGTGGAATGTGGTGGATTTTCAAACCGCCCAGTGTACAGCCTGAAATATGTGCCAGACACCAGGTATGGCCACAGGGTCCTTCCAGGGCATACTGGAGATGGAGAGGGGGCTTGTCCACTGAGAGTGAGCTCCTTTTTCTTGCCTGCTTCCCAGCCCAGCTGGTCAATCCTGCCAGCTCTGAGAGCACTGTGAGTCTGAGGGAGGATTTACTGGCCAGCAATACAACAGTGGTCCTCCCAGAACCCTGTCGTGATGTTTGGAGAGGAGCTGTCTATCGGGGTGCTCAACAAAACAGGGTGCACCCCACCGCTGCGGTACTGAAAGCTGCAGTGGTGTGTCTTGTGGGGCAGCTAGCAGGGAAACTGAAGCTGCTGCTGGATAGCGTGGATCCTCAGCTTCTTCAAGAAGTGAGCCACACGGGCTGCTGACATCGATGCTGGCTCACCAGGGATCCCTCCCTATCCTGCTTCTGAGCAGCGGGGGCCTGTGTAGCTTCTCCTGCTCTGCCTTTCCTATGCCTGCCTTCTGCATTTGGCACGGCGTGGAGGTACTCAGCAGGCAGAGCGGGATACTAGTGGCAGCTGCCTCCGCTCTGTAAGTCCCTGCGTATGCAAGGTTCAGAAGGTTTTTTTCCTGCTGTGGATTGTAGACCAAACAAACACGCTTCCCTCAGGCTGATTCATTTCACTCCTACAGCTCTCCTACACAAGCCCCAGTTGCTACTTTGGGGTTCTTTGCGCCGTTCTTAGTCTTGCAGTTTTGGAAAATGTGCTAATTAAATGCCGTTGCGTGGGACTGTGTTCGCCTGGGCTGTGTAGAGCACCCTGGCATGGGGCATTCTGGCATTGCTGTCCTTATGGCCCCTTCTCTGCTCCAAGCGGAGGCAGGAGCTCCTGAGCACAGGAGGAGCAGCAGACCAGTTTGTCCCAGGGAAAAAAGGCTGTCCTCTGCTCCTGAAGAGTTTTGTGGGGTTCTTTTTGTTTCCTCAGCTTGCTGGTGACGACTGGCCCACCAGACAGCTCCCTCCAGGTCTGGCAGGTGTCAGCAGAGGACTCTGGTAAGGGAACATGTTTCTGAGCTTGAGTAGTTTCTCAATGTAGTCCTTGCGTCAAGCTTCCCCCTCTTCCTGGGGTATAGAATGAGGAGAGGAGTGCCAACCCCATTCAGTGAAGTCCTGAGTGACTGCCCTTGTGTGGCAGGGGCTGGAGAAGGGCATGAGACAAGAGTCTACACCAATTCGGGTGGCTTGGAAAGATGTGGGCTCGACGACGCAAACCCCGTAAGGGGATTAGTAGGTTTAGGCCTGTCACAGTGGCTTTCCGCTTATTTGTGAGCTCTTACTCATACACACAGGAACCCCAATCATATATTTGGCACAATGTTCCCTTAATAACTCCAAGGATTAGAAATAAAAAGCTCCATACATCACCTTTCAGGATGTACCATGAACAGCCTCAATTCCTCAAACCTATGTCTGCCTGCTTCTGGAAAAGGGTTGCTGTTGCTTTGTGCACTCTTGTGAAATACGTTGGAACCACCAGAAAGGAAGTGCAAAATGCTATTAGAAGTTTTCTTATTCTTCTTCATTGAAAATAAGCATCTTGATTCACAACTTTCCATGCATGTTGCTAGGTTTTAAATGGCTTGCTGTCAGTCCTGGGTATGTTGGAAGGAGTGTTTTTTTTCTGGAGGGTGGTTAGTCATAATTGGATTTCTTATTGGTTTAGTCGCACGTAGCTTCGTGAGGCATCTTTATGAAACAGCTTAATCTTGTGGATTACTTGATTCCTGATGTGTTTTACAGCTGCTTACATCTCTTTCAATAGATGTTATTAAACCTGTAAGTGCCATACCTACAGAAAGTGTCCCTGGGCAACCTTGGGCTAGAATTGCAACCATTTCGGCCAGAGCCCCATGGGTCCTTCACGGCTCAAGACTGAACAGCGTCCAAATTACAGAGGTTGAATCAAGGAAAAATGTCTACATGGCAGGTATTCAAACCAAATCTAATGATGGATTTTTGGAAAGTTGGGAGTTAGGTAAAGCAAAGTTTAACTGCTCAAGTGGCAAATATTTCATCAGGTGGATACTTTCAGATATGTGCCAAAGGCTATAAAGGTATTTGCAGAAAGTACGTTGTACTGAGGAAAGAGGTTACAATGCTCTGGTCCATCTCCAGCTTCTCACTACTGCCATGCCAGTGATTTCTCAGGCTTCTGCCCCAAATCTGTGCCCTACAGGAGCTCCATAGATGGTTTCAGTGCAAAGAATTGGGTTAGCAGAGGGCTGCTGCATGTGTTGTCCCAAATGAGGGAGGTGCTGTCCCCAGAGCCCCATCGCTTGGGGTCGTTGAAATCAGCATCAGCGTCTGAGTGAGCTCTGTGCTACTCTGTGCTCTGTCCGTGCCGGTGGGAGGAGGGATCATGCCAGCCTTGTTAAACCAGCCCTGCCTTACCTCGAGGTGGTTAATCCAGGTCTGGTTTGCTGGGGGTCCTGGAGACCATCTGCCTTTACCTACACAGTAAGATGCAGTCCTCACACACTTCCTTCCCTGCTGAAGAAAATATGTGTGTCCAGTGGCTGTAGCCCAGTTGTGCTGAGCAAAAGGAGGGAAAGGCAAGTCTGTCTGTCACAGCAGGGCTCTGCTGAGTCCCTGTGCTACAGGGACTCATGTGACTCCCGCTGCTGAGGAGTACTGCTGGAGGCATCTGCTCTCAGAGCCCTGATCCGTGTCAGGTCCCCCATGGGAGCTCAAACAGAGCTAGTGTTAGTCCTGAGCCTGCCTGTCTCCTCTGCCTGGGTGTTAACATCGCCTCTTCAGGGATACAGACTGTGCCCGCTCCACATGGATCCCATGCAGAGGTAATTCCCAAGCAGGCTGTCAGTCTCTGCTGCTGGCTCTCTTGAAGAACTAACTAGCATTGCTTGAAAGCCACTTCTAGAGACAAGGCTGGAAATCTGCTTTCTCAGGCAAGATCACAGCAGAGAAATCATGCAAATGCTCCTCATGGCATCTGAGGTCTGCCTCTCTCTTCTAGCCTCCAGAAACAGCGAGGAGCTCAGCGGCCTGGCATTCCT